ATCTCTCCACTTGGTGAAATGATTGGGCCTCTCAAGAAACATCTTTTTTTTTCGAGGAAAAGCTACGATCACCGCGAGTTCTATGAAATCTTCATCATCTGTCAAATTATGATCATCATCTTGGTAATAAGACATAGTTAATAGTTATTAAACTAATTAATAATTTAGGATTCAAGATTTAAGAACACTGAACAAGTGGAACAACATTGAAAAGTGAAAACCACGAACGGCGCGAACCAATTTCTTATCATTGATTATCTTATATTAGTTATATTGGAGGGCTGTAAAAAACGGGAAATTATTTTTCGGGAAAATTAATATCAGAACGATGATTTCTATGAACCATATTTTTCATTAACACTATTCAACCAGACTTTTATTTAATGAAATTATTTTTTTCAGAATGTGATTTTTTTGGAACAATAATATCATTGAATATTTTTATCAGGAAATTATTTTCTCGAAAACCGTTTACAAAGGATTGGTGTATAATAGAATTATACTACACAGAATCGTACGAATCGGGACAGTTTTTTAAAGTACGGTAAAAACAGAAAATTATTTTCAACGATTTGTAATTAACAATAAAGTATTTTATAGAATCGTACGAATCGGGACAGTATTTCAAATTACGGTAAAAACAGAAAAATATCTTCAACGATTTGTAATTAACAATAAAGTATTTTACAGAATCGTACGAATCGGGAATCGGGATGATATTATGAAAAACACTATACCAATAAACCATGGTCGTAGTAAATAGGTTATTACCATAGGTTATAACCCTATACCAATAACATATAAGGTCTATGGTTATTATACTGTTATCATTTATCAATTAGTGATAAAAATTGCTAAGAATGGATCTTCGCAGGAAAAAATTTTTTGTGTCCGTATATAATATTGCCTACATTTAGCCCCTTTTTTGCAGTTATCAAAATGTGATAACATTGATAAACCGATAACATAATTTTCATTATAAATATAATATTATATTTTATTAGGTATATTAATTATAATTAAAATAGTTAAATACATTAATAGTTAATAAGTTATTAAAAAACACAATATAGTAATTTAAAATTTAAAAATACACAATTCATTGAGAATACAGTATAAATGTACAACATATTTAGGTGGAACATTATTTTAAATTTTCAATCTTTAGCTATAAAAGGTAAATTATATAATACAATTTTAAATTTGATAAATATTTTCAAAATTCGAACTAATACCCAGATAGCAATTGTGAAATGATATTATTATTATTACAGTACACAAATATTGTTATAAAAATAATGTTATTATAATAACATAACTATCCAACTAACATAATATTTTTACATTATAAATTATAATTAAAATAAATAAATATATTAATAGTTAATAAATTTAATAATACACAATTCAAAAAAAAACACAATATCCATTATTCACTTACGATCGTCATTTAAAAGATACAATTCAACAATATATTAAGAAATTCATTTTCTTTTAGCACTATAAGAATGATCGTCATATGAATGAACATTTAAAACACTTGTATTATTCAGTAAGGATTTTCTTATTATATTACCTTCACTCGACGACAATTGATGAAATTCAAGTTTATGTTTTTTATTTTTAGTAAAGAAACGTGGTTGTTTTTCAATATTCTTTTTATGTTGATTGTATTTATATCTTCTGTTTGCATAGGTTTTGATTCGTTTGTAAGTAATTCAATAATTTTATTGCGATGTTTTAAAATATGTTTTTTTGTGTACTGTAATAATAATAATATCATTACACAACAGGGGCGCACCCAGGATTTTTTTTTGGGGAGGGCTAAATTCACATAATTTTAATATTAATAAATAATAGGTAGTATTTTTTTTGAAATATGTACAAAAATCTTTAAGCTTTTTTACAATCTTTTACTAACAAATTTTTTTTATTTTTGTCCCGGTTTTAAGTGTCGCAGGGGCGACAGTCCAGGGGCGGACTGGGAACCAAATCCAGGCCGGGAGTTTAAAATTTATCCAGGCCACCCACCAAATTTCTCGCCATTAGCATAAAAGACTCAAGATAATCATTGGTCATTGAATTTCTCAGCCTGTTTTTTAATTAATACTTCAATGTTTAAAATGGGTGTTTTATTATAAAAATAACCGACCTATGTCAATATTAGGTATATTGCTTTGATTTTATTTGATGTCTATATTTATGTACCAAATATTTTGTAATTTTATATCCAAAACTTTCTCATAAGAGTATACGGTTGTACGAGGCTATAACAATGTACTATTATTGCATTAATAATATTTGCAGTACAATAATTTAATAGAAACAAATTTACGACGCATTTAGCATTAACTAATATTTTGTAAATTAAATTAAATTAAAAAAAAATCTAACAAAATGGCCAGGCCACCAGGCCATCTGGAAAATTCCCATTTCCAGACCGGCCACTCCGCCCCTGCCGTAGTCTATAATAATAGACAACAGTGGTCTCTCCCGGGGCCCGGAATGACAGGAATAAATTTAATAAAATTATAAAATCAATGATATAATATAATATTATGTTACACCTAATATTTCAATTTCGATAGTTGATAATTTTTTTTTATAACAATTTAAAGTAAAATGTAAATTTGTCAATAAACCTAATAAAATTATCAAAATGTTTAGCCATTTGGGTAGGTGCTAAAGCTCGTTAGCCACCCCCTTGGGTGCGGCGGTGCGCCCTTGTTACACAATTGCACAATTTTATTATATAATTTAACTTTTATAGCTAAAGATTGAAAATTTAAAATAATGTTCCACCTAAATATGTTGTACATTTATACTGTATTCTCAATGAATTGTGTATTTTAGATTCTGAGTGAAACGATGAATGTATTGATTTTACAATGATGTGTGTTTTTTTTATTTTTTTTTTTATTTTTTTTTTATTTTTTTTTTTATTTTTTTATTTTTTTTTGTGTCTGTCATCACGTTTTAGGACAGTAAAAGTGCTTGGATTTTCTTCATCAGTAGCTTTTCTGATAGGAAAGTGAATCTAGTTGGTACTTTGGGGGGTCAAAAGTATAAATTTCCCAGTAGTTTTCACAAGCGCCGGGAAAAACAACATAAAAATTAAGGAAAAACGGGAATTTTTACGCAAAATTGGTTTTCCAAAAAATCGATTTTGGTTTTTGGTGTAACTCTGAAACAAATGAACGTATATACATGAAATTTTCACTGGTTGTTTATATTTGCATTTTCTATACACGATAACATTTTCAAAATATTTCGATTTATTTTGAACTGTTTAGGGACATTTTCATTTTCCATTTTTTTTTAGTTTTTTTTCTAAAAATTTCAATAAAATTTTATTTGTTGGTTGCGAAAGCTTGAAAATTTAATAGAAGGCTCCTAATATGTTGTTTCAAAGGCAGATGAAAAATATTAAAAATCCTTAGTCACAATTTTTTTTTATAAGCATTTAAAGTTCAAAAATTGACAAAATATGGAAAAATCACGAAAATTAGCAAATTATTTTGAGTTAAGAATTCGTAAAAATTTTTCTTTTTAAATCTAAGATTTGAAAATCTAATACAAGATTACTCATAAGATTGTCTACCTTTATCAATAAAAAAATTTCTACCGGAAAGTCAAATTAAATTTTTATGAGCGTTTGAAATTGAAATTTTTACAACATTGGATATTCACTCGATTTCTCATGTGGCAATTTCCTTTTTTTGTTGTAATTAAAAAACGAATTACTGTAGATACATGCAAATTTCACTGAATGTTTATATTAGCATTTCCTATACACCCTACAATTTTGAAAATATTTTGACTCTTTTTGAGCTGTTTATGGACATTTACAGCTTTCAATTTTTTTTAGTTTTTTTTCTATAAATATCAATAAAGTTTTATCTGTTGGGCCAAAAAGTGTAAAAATTTAATACAAGGCTCCTGATATATTGTTATAATATCAGTTGAAAAATATTAAAAATACATAGGCACAGTTTTTTTTTATAAGCATTTAAAGATCAAATTTTGACAAAATTTATCAAAATCTCGAAAATTATCAATCATTGTAATTAATAAATTATAAAATGTTCAGTTTTTATAGCTAAGGATTGCAAATTCAACACAAAGGTTCTCGTAAATAGTTCATACTGTAACCAAAAAATCTAAAAAATATATGAACACAGTTATTTTTACAGACATTTTAAATTCAAATTTGGACGAAATTTCATATTAAAAAACCTAGAATAACTATTTTAGTTATTTTGTTGTGATTGAATAATATTATTCGTGGATACTTGAAACTTCTAAAGTGTACTTTTATATATCTATGATAGTATCACGGTTTTTGTTGATGTATAACGCGTTATAAGTACCTAATGGATATTTTGATATGATTAATTTGGAATTTATTATAGGTACCCATTATAGGTCAATTTTTTGTTTAATACCATAGATATGTATATAATATGTCTTATACATAGACTGACATACCGTCTGCGCTCAGAATCGTTTTTCTTATACAATGATATTATATCGTTGAATTCAAATTTAATATCATCCATTATACAGTGACCCACTTGTAACCTACTGTACAGCAGAGCGACACCCACTTGCCCACCTTTTTAAAGTTTAAATTACGATATTGTGTTTTTAATAACTTATTAACGATTAATGTATGTAACTATTTTAATTATATTAATATAATAAAATATAATTATAATTATTTTTATACAATATTTGTGTCTGTAATAATAATAATTTCATTCCACAATTGCTATCTGGGTCTTAGTTCGAATTTTGAAAATATTTATCAAATTTTAAATTTTATTATATAATTTACCTTTTATAGCTAAAGATTGAAAATTTAAATACTGTTCCACGTAAATAGGTTGTTACACTTATACTGAATGCTCAATGAATTGTGTATTTTAAATTTTAAATATACGATATTATTGTGTTTTTTAAACCTTCTTATTTATGTACTCTAATGTATTTACTATTTTAATTATAATTA